TACCACGAAACTCCCAAATTCCCCCTAAGAAATGATGTGCCACATCTGATTGCCCTTATGAGAAGCAAAGCCCTTTGAGACCGACGGAGACTAAACAATTTTTGTGATTGCGTGACTGTGCGTTACAGTTGGGCTGCGAGTTTGCCCTTTGATCATTAAGGTTTCAAAATTTAACTTGGTATTCTCCGTGTCGTTAGTTGTAGTAATTTTTTTGTCCTTGTCGATCAAGTTTTTAATTGTGCGTGCCATCAGCGTTGCGGGATCGATGTGTAAATATTTAATATTCTGTTTCCATTTTCGTTTAGCTTGCCTCCTAACTTTCTAGCCATTGTTTATTCATTATTTGTGTATGTAATTTAGAGATGTCGTGCCTTCGAGGTCGCGTAGAAATTTTCGATGAAATTTAAATATTATTTTATTGTAATTTCGGGGCAAGCTCAGCCTCATTGGGCGCATTTTGGTCTTTCGTTTATTATCATATGTTTATTGTGTCGCTTAGGTTTCTCTTGGTTATTTTTATTGTATTTCGTTTATTAATCGCCACGCGCGTTCTTACACTAGTTCCTGTTAATTTATTGATTTCATTTTACGAGACAACATAGACAGTTGTAATAAAGATCGGCGTTTAAATTTGTTCGCCGTATTCGTAACATAGCCCTGTATCTTGGCAAGTTATACTCATCTGTTCGCGATATCTCTTGGCACCATTTCGTCTTGATGTTCGTTAACGTTACCATTTTATTCGGACAGCCCCTTGTTACGATCATTCCATCAGCAATATACTATTCATGACAAGGAAATCGTGCATTATGTTTGCGTTTCTCCTTTTTGTGTTTATTCAGTCGCTATGTCGATACCGACAAAATGATTTTTCCTAACTTAATTTTGGTCTTGCATATCCAAGGATCTGTACCGACCAATTATCTTAGTACCAACAAGCAGACTACGAATAATTACAATGACGAATCAAACGTTCTGTCGGGTGCAGTTATTCACTTGAAATGAATAATAGCTTCAACATTCATTGACGTCCAATTTCCGTATCCTGCTAAGGTCCACAGTTTGAGAGAGCACTTTAAATATTTGGTACAAACATTTACAAAAGTCCAATTTTCGTATCCTGCCAAGGTCTACTGTTTGAAAGAGAACTTCGATTATTTGGCCTATGTCACTACTGTGAAATATCCAGATGGAAAATGAAATTCCCTGCTATGCTGAATAATCTGTTCTTCTTTGATCCCAACGCGCGTGGGTCTCTACTGGAATAATCGAACCTTTTCCAAAAGGCACAAACTCGGTGCAATTTTGAAATTAGAAGGCTTATCATAAGTCTAAGTTCTTAATAATGGCGAAACAGCTTCTTACATCCATGGAAAACAAATTAGAAAATTAATTTTAATGAGGCACAAGGTTGATAAACGAATAGCAAATTAAAGTGTTTTCACGCTTATAGGAGGGGAAAGTTTACCTTAGTTAATTAACAGAAGTTTTATTAAAAAAAAAGTGGAAATTCTGACTTTGCACCGAACCATAAACTGAAGAGCTTGACCCTAACCACTGCTTTTCTTTCGCGCCCTGATCATCATTTTTAAGATGAACTTGACTTGTGCAAATAATACCTTCCTCAACATAGGCGTTGATTATTTCAAAGAGCTACAAAGGAGCCAAAAACCTTCAAATTCTTCAGTTTACACCGGGGCAGCTGGCCTTGATTCACAGGAAGGGATGATGCATGTTGAGGAGTTTTCAAAGGCAGCTTTCGGCTCGTCCATCTTTATCATCATAGTTTCGCCCATGACAATCGTGGCCAACAGTTTGCTTCTTGTAACTTTTCTCGTCGATCCACTCAAGATTTTCCGCAACCCAACCAGCTACTTTCTCATCGGTTTGGCCATCGTGGATCTCCTAACAGCACTGATACAAGAACCTATCTATGCCGCCTGTTTCATGCTGATGTACTTCCAACATCCTTCGTGGACGAAATGTGAATCTTGGATGGAATTTACATTCCATTTTTCAGCATTTCCAGTCTCAATATCGGCATCTATCGTTTTTGCCTTTACATTGACGCACTATATCGTGGTTACATCGCCTCTGAAGTACGGCCGCATGATTACAAAGAAGAAAGCCTTAGTTAGCGTTGTTGCTATATACCTCTATCATACGCTTTTCTGTTGTTTACCTCTGATGGGTGTTCCACAGAGGACCAAACACGCCATCGACTTATTTTTTCACAGGTACACTGTTGTTCTCGTCACCATCGTGGTATACATTATTCTGCATTACACCATGAAAAAGAAAATGACCGCAGGGCGCTCACTCCAAAGCGAAGGCTCATCTCATGTTTTTCGTGCCTTCAGTTCTACTGATGACAATCAGATTTTTTCTGGACGACATATTTACTGCTCGGAATGGGATACGGGTTCTCGTTGTGAATTTGATGACCGACAACCTGCTTACCTAAAATTTCTGTTTGATCCGATTGTGTACCCGTGGCGCATGTCCAAATACAGGAAGTCTCTGAAAAGCACTGCTTATCGTAATAAAGATAAAGAGTCCAGCAGAAGCGAAAACGAGACTAAACTCACAGATACAAGAGGTCAAGTAGGTGAGCTGGCAAGTGCTGAACTGAACAAGTCAACGATAACTTTACTCAGCTTTAAAAATGTCAGCACAGATTAAGGGTAGACCCTCTCCCTTTTTGGTACACATAAGCGGTCATAACTGATGAATCAGACATCTCCTATGGATGGAGTTAAAACCATTACAACTGAGAAATTCATCGTGAATAGGACTCAGTGTTCTATCATCAAAATAAAACTCATTAAAAAGGTACAACAAACTGGACTTCATTAAAACTTTCAATTGACAATACAACTATTCACCAAACTCTGAACACTTACGTGGAACAACGTTCGTTGAGAACGTGGTTGAGAAATCAAGCAGTTTGAGAACATGGTAATGACCATTAGTTAGAGTCTATGGAATAAAGAAAGGTCTCTGTTGAACAGCCAAAGTCCGACTTTGACAATGAATAACATCCTCCCAACTTGAATTGCTTACAAACTCATATTTAACCTTCCTTAAATTGACGACACTGGAAGACAAAGGAACTCATACTGAACTCAAATATTTCTATTTTCTAAGACTGTATGGTTTGATTCTTAGACCTGTGCTGCGTTTTTGCCCTTGTTTGGATTAACACATGTTGGGTTTGCATCAATTTGCCTTTGCTCTCAAAAATTAAACCTCTGGTTTTTCGTTTACCAAAGAAACATTTTGGCGATGTTATGATTGAAGTTTTACTGAACGTTAGCAATCATTTACTTGACTGCAATATTTCACAATATAATGTTGCAAAAAGTATTAAAATAACTTAATATACATATAAATTAAATAACCAAACTTCACTTTATATTTGTCATTGCTGTTGATAAAATGTCCAGTGGTCCTTTGTAATCTGTAATATACAACCATATAGTCAGCTTATCGATTGAAAACAAAAACAGCTTGATGTGAGCTCCAGTGATAGGGATATGCCTTACGAAATATATAAGGCCTTTCGATTACATCATATCTTATTCAGGAATAAGTATCAGCATAACCTCGAATACCAAGGTAAATAACGGAACATTCTAGAATTTTCTAAACAAAACACGTTTCAAAATCGCATCATCAAGATTTTTTAAATTATCGATAGCATTGCTTTCCGAGGAAAAAGCTTTTTTGCTCGTTTTGTTTCTTTGTGTCATCAAATTCACGACATAAAATTAGGCTTTCTCTCCAGCAAGAAAAAAGACGTTTTTTCCCCAGTCTTATCGTTTCTAATCTGCTAAGAGGGGTTTTCTTACCATTTGGCTTTAGACGCCTACCAAAATAAACCTCAATACATTAACAGTTTCATAATTTTGAAAATTGTTGCGAACACTATTAAATATGAAGTACACTCTGTTGACACAAAAGTTCTAACAGGAAAGAGGAGGTGAAAAATTTGTGGCTATGGATCTTACTTACGAGAACATTCCCACGCCTCTAAACCCTTTAACTCCCAAGATCTGATTGTTAGTTCTCCCCTCTACCTGCTACACATCTCCTTTTAAATTAGGTATGAGAACTTGGTGCTAGATCAAGACAGTAGCTTCTACCTGATAAGTTTGAATATTCTCATTACCTGTTTGCTGATTAATGTA